TTTACGAATATTATTATAAAATTATTAAAGCTAATTTTAATTTTATAACTTTAATATTTTAATAAAAATATTTAATAATTTAATCGCTAAAAAGTTATTTTTTATTTATTAATATAATTATAATAATTACTTAAAAAAATTAAGTATAATAATATTAAATTAAATTATATTTTTATTTTTATTTATAATTATATTAAATTCTTAAAAATTATATAAAATTAAATTTTATATTTTAATAAAAGCTTAAAAGGTTTTAAAATTAAGTTTTTTTAATTATATATTAAAATATATAATAATTATATTATAAATTAATTATATAAAAAATCTAATTTTAATTTATATATAACGATAAGTTTTAAATATTCGAAAGTTAATTTTATTAATAAAAAAAAGTATTTTATTTAAAAATAATAATTATAATATAAAATTAATAAGCTTTAATAATTTTATTAATAAATGTATTAATAAATATATTAATAATAAAATAAGTTTAAATTTTCTATATACTTTAAGAGATAAATAAAGGTTATTATTAATAATTAAAGTTTATAATCTTTTTTTTTTTAATAAACGCTAAAATAAATATTTATTTAAAAATAATAAATAAAGTAAAAATAATAACTTATATTAAGCTATTTAAAATAATAAAATAAAAATTATAAAAATAAATTTATAAGTTTTTTTTTATTATTATAATAAAAGAAAAGTAATTAATTATATAAGATTTATAAATAATTTATATAAAGTAATAAATAATTAAATAAATAATTTTTTTAAAAGCTTAATTTAATATTTTATTAATTGCTTTTTAAAATAATTTTTTTAAAAGTAATAAAAATTATTTATAATAAAAGGTTTAAGCTTAAAATATATATTTAAATTTATTTAATAATTTTTATAAGTTTTAAAGTTTTTAATCTTTTTTATAATTTAAATAGGAATTTTTAAACTTATTTATACTTAAATCTAATAATATAAAATATATTAAGCTTCTTAAATATTTTTATATTAATGTAATTTGCATATATAAGCGCTATCCTTTTAACTTATATATGTACCAGTAATATCTTAATACCTTATCCTAACTGCCAGCTATAGCTGCATAGGTTGGCTAATAACTTCTTGGCACTAATCTCTGTATGATAAATTGTTAGATAGAAAAGATGAAAGCTACCTAATTACTAATTAAGTAATTGTATACGTTAAGGTCTGTCACCTTATGTGTCTCGTGGAGTGAAGATGGGACAGTAGCGTAGATAAACAAGTGCCGCTTAATAATGACTGTCAATCTAGGAAGGTATGCTTCAGGTATAATAAGTGGAAGATTTCATTAATAAAATAAAATAAAGTGAAATAAAAAAAGAGGAGAGTTTAATAAGGGGAGAGGAATCCATACAATAAAAGGGGGATGGCAAAGTAATACAAAAATAATACAAAAAGGTGAACAGAAGGTAGGGTGTCTAGGGGGTTCGAACCCCTGACCTCTCGCAATTTGACTGAACCCAAAGCGAGCGAGTTAACCACTTCTCCAAGACACCGCTGTCCTCCTGCTGTGCCTTCTCTGAGTGCTTCTTGTAGTTACTGTTAACGGCAGCTGTTTCGTTATTTAACGCTGGCGTCATAGCTATGGATGGCAACATCCTTGGGCTTCGTAACTGCCCAGCAAAGCGTGTACCTGTATTTATGCTTGTAATTGCACTTGGAGCATGTCACCTCTGGGGCTTCCTGCCTTAGTAACCTCTAATAGTCACGTGTATAGCAGCTGTTTGAGGCATTCTTCATGAACCACCTTAGCAGTGGTTTACTCTTGTTCTTTCATATGTAGGTAGTACTCTAGTTTACCCTTCAATACAGGTGCGAATACCTCTCCGTAATTACTTAACATCTATCTGGTGTGCAGTACTATGAGCATTGTTCACGTGAACTCGAGCCTACGTCATCTCAAGTTGGGATGAGACCTTAAACAAAAAACTCCCATTGATAGCATTGCCCATGTGCTGTTACTGGTAACATCCGTACATCTCAGGTGACAAGGTTCAATGGCTGTTGAATGGACTCGCAACTGATATCCATGTTCCTCTTACGTTACCCCTGAGTCCATATACGTTTCTGTCAAGGGACACATCACTTGCAGGTCATTACTAGGTATGTGGCAGGTTATTTCTATCAAGTTGCAAATTTGCTTCTTGAGTCCTGAAATATTCTCAGTAAGAAGAATCAAGTAAATCTAATCACAGATGACACAATATCCGAAACCCTCCGGAGCATAGTTTCCATCCAGTGATCATATCCCTATTATCAATGCTCGGTTTGCTACTTAGATACTGGCAGCTTATCCAGTAGCAAGCTTCTGCAATGAGGCAACTGCAATATAAAATGTTAGTCATATTAGAGCAACTTGGGTTTCTACTACAGAGGCAATTGAAAAAACCACTGACGTTCTCCATTGAAAGTATCCGAGTCTCCACCATACCGGTAGGCATCATTGAACTGCCAAATAGTATAGTAAGGCCAGCCACCAGGCGGTGTCCCCGCGCTACTGCTATATCTAGCAAGAACGAGGGGGCTTGTATTGACGAAAGCGCCAGAGCCCCCGGTACAGGTCGACCACCAAGACGGGTTGGTGTATAAAAGGGGGTAACGTCCCGTTTTGCTGTGGTACGTGTCGCTAAAATCCTTGATCCAAGAGACCATGGCACTTGTCGACAAGCCAGCACAGTCGCCCTCCAGATCTAACATGCCTGGAAGAGTGATTCCATCTCCAGACCAACCACCGCCGTGAGCGAGAAAGTAGTTAGCCTGGGTGGCTCCGGAGGAAGAGTCGGGATGTGCGAAGTGGTAGCCACCACGGATGAGACCAGCGTTCGTGGCCCCATCGTAATGGCTACTGAATCTTGAATCTATGTAGGTGGTACCCTCCGTAGCCTATCGATTACTGATTAGTTTTGCTTTGAGAAGAGACAGACTTTGAACTGCAATCTTACTTTGATGATAACGAATCGTGCTCCAGAGCTATATGCTGCGGCAAAGTCCACGCTTGTTTGATAACTAGAAATATCGAATCCAGAAACAGCGGCGAGAGCAGCGCCGCTCAAGCCCAAGACAGTAGTGATGAAAGGAAGCATATTGGTGTCTATCCGATGTCCGTGTTTTCAAGTCAGCTGTTTCGTGGGTTTGCTATCGTCTGGCTCAGGAGTGAAACATGCTTAACACTGATGGAGAGCATCTTGCAAGATATACCCCTATCCAACCTACTCTTTGACTGCAATTGTAATCCAGAGAGTACTTAACGTCATAGTAAATATGACAGGACCTCTTTCAGCCGCCCTACAAAATAGGCAGGTGGTGTAAGTCAAATCGTCAGTTGGGTAGATACTGTTTCCTTCAGCTGGTTCTGAATATCGCCGATCTTGGTCCCAGTAGGCATTTTGAATGTCAATCAAAAATGTGTGATGATACTATAACTTCAGCTCGCTTACTATGCTTTCCATACCATCTCAGGTGTTTAGGGGGGGACGGGCATGGCGGATATCCATAAAAAACAGGTTACGACTGATTAATAGGGGTTGTCCAATGGATTATTTGCCTCCACAAGGCGAGCTGCAATCCTTTCATGTGGGCACGTTGTTCTTGCTTGCATATGCTGACATTCCTGTGGCTTTATTAATGACGAAGCTGGCTTAATATCCTAACAAATCTCTAAACTTGTTCCTGGAATCTGCCTTTCATCCGTACCCCATATCTCGAACAATGCGGCTCGCACACAGTAAATTCTTCAAGTTGACTGTAGGACTATCGCGTATTTCTTGCAATGATATGAAGTAAAGAAGGATTAATGTTGGTTAGTAGGAGCCGATGAATGGACATCATTCAAATGTCAATTCTTATTTATTTATTATAATTTATTGCAATTTATTGTGCTAAATAATAGTGATTATTCGAAGTATGAGGTTAAAGGTTGGTAGGGAGTACGAATTAGAGGGCGATCTCCGCGGAAGCTCAGGGGGGCAGGGGGGGGTGGGAACAGTGGGATTTGTCGGCGGGATCTTATCGATAAATAACAGCGGGACCCAGCATCCCACTGTAATTGGTTTTCGATTTCATCGTCCAAATTTTTGGGAGCTCAAGAACGAATTGAGACTGCCTCACGACACGATTTGGTACAAGAGAAACGAGCTTTTAATTCACGAAATTCCCGGTAGCAAAACTGTGCGGACCAGGAGCAGAGAATGGCTTCCGAAGTCGCGGCTGCGGCTACCAATGCCGTGCGACGAGCAGGCAAAGAGATGCATGGCATTGTGGTGTCAGCTGGGTTGATGGACAAAACCGTGAAGGTCAAGCTGGGAGGATTAAGATGGGAGCCAAGAGTACAGAAGGTATGACAGGCATTACTTGCACAATGCGACGAAAGAGAACCTATAACTTAGAGCTAATTCTCACTCTTTTATAGTTCTTCAAACAACCACGATTCCATTTAGTCCACGATCCGCGCAATTCCGTCCGGCAAGGAGATGTAGTAGCCATAATGCCGAGCTGGAGAGAATCACAACATGTGCGCCACGTCGTCAAGCACATCATAGCGCCTTACGGTGAACCCATCGAGGAGCGACCGCCCATCCCCGCCGTGGGGGAGAGGCTGGCTGAGGACGCGGTTAAGCGAGAGGCGAAGGTCAAGCGGAGAACTGCGCGGAGAGAGCTGGAGGCCTTGAAGAAGAGGGCCGAGACTGCTGTTTTGCATGCCAAAAAGAGTGCCCGAGAAGCCGAGTTGACATTACGAGCACATGGCATAAGTACAGAATCTACGACATTGGATGATGTGGACTGAAGCTGCGCCTTCACTCGGATAGGGTGAGCTCGGGATCGAGAGCGATTGATACGAGGCTTTGCTCCTTCATATGCTTGAGCGGCCAGAAATCTATATAGACTGAGCCCGATATTGCATAGCAACCTGTATATACCAAATCACTTGCAATCCATGTAACATATTGTATGTACAACTACCAAAGACTTGTACCGTCCTAGCTAGGTACCTTGGGAGGTTAAGTATGCATCGCCATAACTCATATTGGACGCATATATCACCCTAGGTATCATGCGCCAACGCACCCCTCCCTAGCTCCAAAACGCCGATATCATAAAGATATCCAACCGAAATACAGTATCATCTCATTCATTGCCGATGAATCTCATTTCTGCTGGGATGGGTTATTCCGAGGGATTTTTATCCTCCACGTTCTCCAAACCTCCCTGCCCAGTCTTCGTATTCCTTCAATCCTTCTTTACTAACGCTGGGGCGGATCGTCCGAAGACTAGCCTTGAAATCTGCGAGCTCTATGGGCCGAATTTGGTCCATCGTCATGTGAAGAAGAGCCTCGCCTAGAGCACGAAGGGGGCCCATTGCTGCGTCCTTTGCCAAAGCTGTGATATCTGAGCCAGAGAAACCTAGACAAGAGACCCGTTAGCATTTAGGTATATATAAATGAAAATATGAAAGAATAATATTAACCATCTGTTAGGTCCACCAACACTGCAATGTCAGTGTCCGTAAGACTATGCTTCTGCTGGCCAAGTAATGTCTTCAACTGGCTCGCTCTGGTCTCTGCTTCGGGGAGGGGAATATATTGCCGTCTGACGAATCTTCGCCTTGCTGCTTCGTCAATTGCCCACGGCAAATTAGTAGCCGCCAGCACAAGTACTCGATTCGGGTCGCCTTTCTCTTTGCCGGTATTCTCACGTCCAGCAGCGGCTCGCTGTAGGTCACTCCATTGTATTAGGAACTCTGTTTTGATCCTTCGTGTGGCTTCATGCTCTCCTGAACCGGATCGTTGAGAAAGTAGCGAGTCTATCTCATCAACGAATATGATGCTCGGCGCCATCACTTTCGCTAGCGCAAATAACGCTCGTACGAGCTTTTCGGATTCGCCCAGATACTTGCTCGTTAAACTGCTCGCTGAGATGGAGAAAAAGGTAGATTTTGATTCCGTCGCAACGGCGCGGGCTAGCATCGTTTTCCCGGTTCCGGGAGGTCCAAATAGTAGCATGCCCCTAGCCGGTTCTCGGAGACCCATGAACAGGTCTGGACGAAGAAATGGATATACCACTGCTTCCCTCAAAGCATTCTTTGCGATCTCTAGACCAGCAACATCGCTCCAATGGACCTCATCACCGTGAACCACAATCTCATTGAAGATCGCTTTCGCGGCCGCATCATCAATGCCCGGCGGTAGGTTCTTCAATATTGCCTTTTTCTTTGACTCCCATTCGTTTTTTGTTTTCTTCCCTTCTTTAGCAGCCGAGTCCGTCGATGACTGATCATCGGCGTCAGAGGTAATTGGTGACTCCTTCTGCTTACCTTTAAGTTTCCGGCTAGAGGAGCTTTGCCTAGCAGGCTCATCGCTAGAGGATATTTCCTCCTTTCCATCATAATCAGATATCTGCCGGTCCACTCGTTTCCTGGCGCTGTTGGGCTCAAACGCCCTCCCACGATCTATAGGCTTTCTCCTTACCGAACCTTCTTTGGAGCTTGTTCTAGGTGTGT